CCCAGCTGCCTGTGCCCCAACAGGCGGCCCAGCCCGCCCGCTGGGTTGCCCCTCGCAACCGCGGCAATGGCTTTGGCCAAAACGGAGTGGATGGTAACGGAGTGGGACAGTCTCAAGCCAGTTCTGGTGCTGCTCCTTCAGAACCGCACCCAGTCTTGGAGAAGTTGAGATCCATCAACAACTACAATCCCAAGGATTTTGACTGGAACCCCAAACACGGCCGGGTTTTCATCATTAAGAGTTACTCTGAGGACGATATCCACCGTTCCATTAAATATAACATCTGGTGCAGTACAGAGCATGGCAACAAGAGACTGGATGCTGCCTATCGCTCCATGAACGGGAAAGGCCCCGTTTACTTACTGTTCAGTGTCAACGGTAGTGGTCACTTCTGCGGAGTAGCAGAAATGAAATCTGCTGTGGACTATAATACGTGTGCGGGTGTGTGGTCCCAGGACAAGTGGAAGGGACGTTTTGATGTCAGGTGGATTTTTGTGAAGGACGTTCCCAACAGCCAGCTGCGGCACATCCGCCTAGAGAACAACGAGAATAAACCAGTGACCAACTCCAGGGACACTCAGGAGGTGCCTCTGGAAAAGGCTAAGCAGGTGTTGAAAATCATTGCCACCTACAAGCACACCACCTCCATCTTCGATGACTTCTCACACTATGAGAAACGCCAAGAGGAGGAGGAAAATGTTAAAAAGGTAAAGTGTGTGTGTGTCGTGAAGTGCTGCGGGCAGGAGCCAGAGCAGGGCTGCCTTGCGATGGGCCAAATCAGTGGCCCGTGAGCACGGGCTTGTGGCCAAGCTCAGTGGGCAACAGCTCCCAGCTTGACTAGTTTTGTTCCAGGCTCGTGTCCCAGCGGAGCTCCGTGCGGAAGCTCACAGGGACCGTGCCTGGAATCGGCTGCCCTTCAGGTGCTGTCAATCTCCAGCGTTCCTGAGTACTGTTTTCACCAAACTGATGAAAATTCATTGTTACCCCCTTCCAGCACTTGGATAACGGTGCAAAGTCTGAGGTTGGTGGGGGCTTCGGGGGCTCTTCAGCAAATAGAGCTGGGTCTCTGGGAGACCGTCTGATCCGCCCGGCTCCTCAGGTGGGATCAGCGTGACAGCTGGTTCACACCACCCATGAAACCTGCAGCAGTGGCAGCTCCTGTCCCCCCTGGGCAGCCTGTCCCCATGCTTCATTATCCTTCCTGCTAGAGGGCTTTGTCTAATGCCCAGCCTAAATCTCCCTCGGTGCAACTGAAGTCTGTGACTGCTTGTCCTCTGCTGCGGGCGCAGAGCGGGTCATTCTGCTCCCCTTGGCGCGAGCTCTTGGCTGTGTGAAGCAGGCGGGTTGTGCCCTGCTGCTTGGGCCCTCGAAGCCTTCTGTGAACATTGATTTTTAACTGGAGGATCACTGTTTTCAAAGCATTGTTGGGAGCAAATCGAAAATTCTGCCCAAGCTCTGAAATTACTAAGAAATTTGGTGACCTGTGGGGCCTGAATTTTTTTTGGATGCAGCTGTGTGCTTGACTCACCTGTGGCTCTCCTTCCCCGCAATGGGGATCTTGCTTGTATTTGAGCAAAACAATAATTGCAAATTAGCATTAGCAGAGTTTTCTGATGGTTTGCCAAGTTTTTGGTGGATCTCTCTAGTCTCAGCAACAGGGAATTTTCCACCCAATGGCTGGAGAACTTGATCAGGAGCTGCAACCTGCTCACCATGCCATTGAACTCGGGTTTTAATTTTTTGATATGTACCTTGGTGCTGTCCGTGTTAATATCAGCACGGACATACCAAGACAGTCCCATTTTGCAGCTGATAATCTAGTATTTTTAATGTTTGAAGACAATCTGCAAGGGAGACGTGGAGATTAATGGTTTCCTTAGTTTTATCTGGCTTGATTTTTGTGAGAACCTAAATGTTCATGTGAATTCACATCTCAGAAGTTTTTCCCTTGATGCTCAGCCTGTACTGAAGTGGTAATTGGGCTATAACAGAGATTTCAAATACAATTAAAATCATTATTTATTTTAGGGCATCTTAGTAAGCCCAGCTTTGTGCTCGGTATCCAACTTGATGGGAACAACAGGGTTTGCAGAGTGAGAAAATTTTCCCCAGGGGAAGGTAGAGAGCAGGTAGAGGGGAAGAGTAATGCTTACTGCTAACATGGGTATATATAAATACAGGGTAAATATAAATGGGTAGAAGGAAGAGCAGATGAGGGGGCAAGGCCAGAGGAAAAGGTGACAGATGGACGGACGATCCCTGCCTTGCAGGGAAGCTTCTGCATTTGCAAGTGTTCATAATATCTCAAAAATGGTAAGGCACTAAAAACATGATTTAATTGTATTAAATGTCTTCTATTGAAAAGTAAGACATCTTTCCTCGTCCTTCCAATTGTGTTTTGTAGTCTCCTCCCCTGCTTTCTTGGGTTTCTTTGAGATGTGTTACCATATAAAGGTCAAAAGCGGAAATAGGAGCTGACAGACGTTTAGCGCTGCAGCGCCGTCCTCCTAAGCGGTGTTTGAGTTGATTCAGCGTGGCACTCCAGCACCACAGCAGTCGATTAGGGAAACATTTATTCTTTCAAAGGGAACTTAGTCATATGTCTCTGGAATTCACAGGCAAGGAAGGATTCCTGTAGATATAAAACTGCTGTTTGCTTTTTACTATTGACTCGGTCTTTGTTGCAGCTCTGGGCCCCTGCCCTGTAACATCCGGCGTGGAGGAAGTGACTGGGTCTTTCTTTCAGCCACGACTTGACCTCCTAGGCTGCTCTCCCATGCAGCTGCAAAGATGCTTGAGGTTTCTCTAACTGCTGCTTCAGGGCTTCCTTGAGGAGCTTTTTGCTCCAGGAGGGGTCTTTGGTGTTTAGTCCCACTGGGCTTTTGCGGCATCAGCGCTGCTGGTTTCCTCAGGATGGTGATTGGCAAAACCAAGCTGTGAAACCAGAGCCAGCCTTGAAGCATCTCAATTGGTCACTTGCAAAAAATTCACAGTTGAGGTACAGAAAGGTTAAAATGCTGCCCTGGCAGGAGTTAATGCTGCAGACTCCCTGCCTGTGCTCTGTCAAGCTCCTTTCATGTTGGGGAAATCCTATTGCTACAAGCTCTTTGTCTCTGCCACCAGTCTTTGGGTGAGGGCGATATGTTAATGTTCTGCATTCTTGTTCCTTGAAGCTTAAATGTCTCAAGGTTTGGCTTGTTTTGAACTTCTTGAGAGCTGCAATTGTTTCAT